GAATTTTGTGGCTATAAATGACATCTGTCACCCTGAAGCATCTGTCACTACAGGCAGTAGAGAATATTAAATGTTAAAAATGGCTTCCTTGGTCCTAGCATGATGAGGACAGTAGATGGCACAGACAGTGCAGTCAACAACACAATGTGGACAGTTGCAATATCATAGCACACAAGATTACTCTATGTCGTTGCTCCCCAGTGACGAGCCTCTTTAAGATAATAGATTTGACAACATGAACAGTGTGCTGTCTCCAAGGAACCATTTCATTCACAAGCTGTCGAAAAAGATTACATGCACAATGTTCTGAATTAGCGCAGAGTAGACCGACACCACCCCCCATCCTATTATTTACAATCCCCCCGACAACAGAAAGTGCTGTGATCCGGCTCTATCAAAACCCATTTTATTCTCTCTCTATTTCATGCTCCGACAGAAATCAGTCAGGGACTGAAATGCACAAGTTAATAAAATCAACTCAGGCAAAATGTCTAGTGCGGTCTAGAAAAACATGGAGCAGCTTATGTCCACTCTCTTACTCACTCTCCCAATCTGTCTTTCGCCTGTAGAAAAACCCCTCACAAGCATTCACACTTAATTTCCGAATGTCAACGTTCTGTGGAGTTTTATTCACAGCCACTATAAGAGATAGATCACTCCTGCACCCTGCTGAGCCTCCACCGAATGGCAACAGTTACAAACAAAATTGTTTGGTGGTTTATCGACAGATGAGATGAAAGCAAACTAAATATTCCCCTCTGGAAGGCCAGCTGTGTGTCTTGCTACAGCAAAGCTGCTTTTGTGGTGTCTTTGAAATGCAAGGACACCTCGGCATAGGATGCCTCACCTACAACAACGTGATCGACAGGGATTACGCTGTGGGAGTATATAAGAAAAACAAACAAAAGTATTGGGAGGACAAGTATTAAGAAAGAACCTCATAAAAAACATCCAGTGGGGAACTTTCTCTCCTCTACAAGAAATGGTTTCTCTGACCTTTAACAACACAGACCGTAGCAAAGCACGTCTTCAAACATATGTCGTGCTTTTATATTTAAATTGAAGTTTTTTAAGTTTTAAAATTCAAAAGCTTATTCATCATTACTGACATTATCGCAATATTAAAGATGAGTTACCACTGCAGAAACATCATTAAATGGCTTCAGTTTAAAGTAGCATGGTGGTTCTTTAGCCGAAAACAATATCAACACGGCTAGACATTCAGCTTTTACACTTATCAAAGACACAAGCTGTTAAATCTCCCTCACGCAGGTTCCAAACCTTCATTTCCAATGTCACTCATTGAAGAAGAGGAATAATCCATGCCATTCTTAAATGCTATATTGTTATGTTGCTCTCACTAGATGGTCGATAAAGTGACACACACCGATTTTTTATGGTTTGAAACACACTGCTTCAAACTATTTTTAAGCAGGAAGGATGACTACGCACACCTGCGACAACAGTCAGTTCAGAATCAATACAAATAACGGAGTTGTTATTATGAGCAGCAGCATCCGCCATGCCTGACAAATGTCAGAGATAAAGTCATCAGGGAAAGAAATCCAAGAACAAAGACTCCTCACATCTTTGAGAGGTGGAAAACAAAAATAGCACCGTGTCACTGGTTATCAGCACCAAGATACCGGCAATAATAGAAATGGATATGGAAAATGATTTAATTCATAAATATCAATTGATAGCTCATCCTACAAACAAGGGGATGCTTCTTTGTGTTCATGAAATCTCATTTTTTGTGTTTGTAACTGTGTAACCGTACACTGAGGCAACTTCAGGAGGCAGAGTGGACAAGTCAGTCAGTGAACTGAGAGACAAAAACGATCCAATGAAATTCACCTAAAAGGCGTTCAGCACTGGAGGGCATGCATGGTTGGTCTGGTGTTTTCAATTTCCTGCTGTTTCCCCAATATTTATTTTCATTTAACCTCTATTTCTACTTAACCTTTGCATAACAGGCTCTGACAGCAAACAAAATAGTTGAAAACATGTTCATGTGAGAGCAGGAGAGAAAAGTAAAAAGATCAACTTAAATATAAGAAAAAAACATACATTAGCGAAGCGCTAGCAGAGGCATGTTTGCTGAGAGACAGTTGAATGTATGCCAGGAAATGTCTCTGAAACAGAGACCCGCAAGCCAGAGATAGAAATGAAATTGTCTAATTCCTCAGTCTTTTTTAAACTAATTACAGTCACTAGAACCAGAAGTGTCTGAGAGACATTAGCAGGCAGATGTTACAGCAGTCTGTAATGATGTGGTGTGTTCTTTCGGGAGCATAAGGAGCATTAATGATAAACTTGACAAACATCAAGCCACTCAACTGCATCTTTACAGCTCAACCTGGTCGTTTGGAGTAAAACACAAATACATGTTTTTGTTTTTATATTAACAATCAATGAATGCATTTGCAGTACCTTCAGGGCCAAAGTCTTGTGCTGATTTCATTTATTGACATACCATAAAGACATTATTTCACAGAGCTTATATAATGCTGGAGAACTTGAAGAAACAATATAATAGGGGTGATTTTGTTTTACTGCGGGAAAGTTCTCTAGTTAACCTCCTTGGTAGATGTTTTCACTGTTGGTGAGATAAGACCTCAAGAATTGAACACAAGAGATGCTGCAGACTCACTTCACTTCCTTGTATGGCTCTCTGTACACCGTGTTCCAAGTTACTATCAAACTAACTAACACATTTGAAGCATGATGTGGTGGTACAGGGGTGTATAATATTACTTCATACTAAACATAGTACAGATGTAGCAGAGATAGCAATGGAAGGCAACATTACATAAAGTGAGTTGAGCTTGATTTTTTTTTTTTAATATCAACACTGCAAATTCAGAACAACCCATGTATTATTGCCTGTTCTGTCACACCACACGATACAGTAATGCACATGATATACTGTAGAAGTCTGTCTGTACATGGCTTTAGAAGGTACATATGGTTCATACATTGAAAAGTATATTTCTTTGGTGCTTTATTGGAGCAGCTTCCCGATTCACAAATGAATTCAAGAGTGTAATAGCTCACAATTAAGACATAAAGACGAGTCGGGGGAAACCGTGTGCTGATCGACACAGAAGAAAACATGTAAGGAGACTGATGGAGAACACCAACAGTGTGACCAATTACAGTCTGTCATGTTGAGCTGCATGGACTAATTTGAGAAAAGATGGATTGGGGTTGGTAGTCATCGTTGTGTAAATGTTCTCCAGTGTAGATTGTTAAGCTTGTCTGTTTCATTATGTTTCTAGTGGCGTTCGTCTTTTATTCAAAAAGCATGTTGTAACACAGTTAAGAAAGATGCTACATAAATTAAGTTTATTATATTATTATCATCTATTAATATTTCCCTTGCTCTCAAACTGTTTTGAACCAGCCACTGGAACATTCAGAATAAAATCATAACCAAATACTAAACTGTGGTGATTTTTTTGGGATGAACTGAAGGATAAAGTCTTCCTTTATGGGTTGAGAATGTTCTAAGACTTCGTAGGAGAGTACTCCAGTGCTGTAACATTGCCCCTATAACACTGTCAGACTCCGAATGGACAATTCAAACCAAAAAAAGATCAATATCGATGCAGCAGAAGAGATACTTTTTTTTTTTTTCCCCCACACATTTTTCTTCCAGCCGTCTAAATGACCCACAATGCAACTCAACCACCAACAGTTTGATCCGAGATTTGGGTGTCTTATGCAAGCAGCAGCTAATATTGCCTCAGGCTATTAGCCTCAAGCAAAGGTGAGGAGCCGGCAGCAGGTTTGGTAAGCTTACTTCTTTCTAACTCCACACCCCCAGATCTTTTCCATTTTCAAACTTGCATTCTTCACCCGCAACCGACACTGACTCAAGTGACATCATGGATCCCTCTGGAGCCAAAAGAAGGCTTTATGGGACTTGCGTATCTTCACATAAGCAGTAGTACTACCCAAGACCTGAAAGAAGACTGGGATATCAGTGGAGTTCCCCGTTAAGATAAATAAACCCTTAAAAACATGGCTAATGAAAAGAAGCCTGGAGTGTTTTCACAGGACAGCAACGTCTCAATTAAGAGCTTTGATTGCACTTCATGAGAATTTAATAGACATTACACCACTAATCTGAAAGCAGATAGGGTTTCATGTACCGTAAGATTCAATTAATTGAGGTCATTTCAAAATTATTTATGATTATAAGGGGTAAAAACAGGGGTCACCTCTTATTAATCCCTCATCTGCCTCATTAGCCGATGTCATGCCTTCTGCTGCTGAAGTCTCTCAACATGATATTAAGCATGGTAACAAGCGCTGACAGAGAGCAGCTGTCAGAGACGAAAATATGTAAAGTAAAGACAAATACATTAGTGCTGAGCAACAATTTAAATATTTAATCGCGATTAATCGCATGGATTTTTTGCGATTAATCGCGATTAATCGCATTGTTATGGTAAAGTTCAATAATGAATTCAAAAGTAGTGTATTGCGCACTTTTATTTTAAAAGTACTGCTATATGAACAAAAGGGCAATAACATTTGGTTCACAAGATGCAGGTAGCATGTTTTATACTTAATGTGAATATAATTCATACTTTGTTGGCATCTTATTCTGAAAACCGGATGTTCGTCTGAAGAAACCGGATGTTGTCTCACGTTAATCTTTCCGCTAACTTTCAAAGTCCTTCGCTCGCTCAGATCTGTGCCATTTAAATGTGTTTACCGTGAATTTCAGCATATAGGTGCACTAAAATTATTGACTACAGGATGTTTGCTGGCTTTTATCCCACTGTTCTTGTCATCCTCTTGTTGTTGTGTATATGTATTGTCTCTTGTCTTTCAATAAAAAAAATTAAAAATAAAAAAAATCATAATAAATTAAATAATTGTCGGCGTTAATTAATGAATGCATTAACGCGTTAACTTGCCCAGCACTTATATATATATATATATATAAATATATACATACATACATACATATACATATACATATTCTTCAGGTAGAAGAATTGTTGCAACTTTTAAAACCACAGTTAACCCCACAGTGTGGGTTTAACTGTGGGGTCATGCCATACTGCTTCAACACTCCAGGCATAGATATATCAAAGGGAGGTGATCTGTGTTGATACAATCTCTCCTTTTGCTTGCTTTTCTCTGCAGGGTGGTTCATCACACTTGAGTGCCGCTAGATGTTTGCGTTCACTTTTCTCGTCAAATAAAAGAGGTCTCTCAAGTCAATTCACAGCCTGCTGCTGAGCGACCCGTTCACGTCTCTCAAAGTCAAAGAAGCCATAAAGTAAAATATGGCTTTGTAATTCAAGTCGTCAAACTTTGACTTCTCCCAGAGGAAAAATAAAAAAAGAACGATCATAGAACTATTCAGCAGTTACAGTACATTGCCTCCAAAACTACACCAGCAGGGCCAACAAAACACTTTGATGTCAATGTCATAATTCTATTTAACAAAATGAATATTAGCTGGGTTATGTTATGTCACTGTGAGCACAGTTTTGGCATTCAGTGATGTACCCAAATCCTAATAAATCACTGCTTTATCCTTGTGCTGAACTGTTAATATACTCATGTCGAATGCTGAATTAATCCCCGTTTAGGATAAACAGAAAGGCAAAAGATCATTCAAGTTTATCAACAGGATGTCACTGAACATCTATGGAGGATTTTGTTTTTGAGTAACACTGCATAATCACACTTTAGTATGAAGGATCCTCTCGTGTATTCACGACAATTTCTGTTTCCGAGGCTAAATACTTCAGTGCTACAATAGCCATTTTGATGCAAAGCCCCCAAAACTCTCTAAACATGGCATTGGCTATTGATACAGCCAGGAAGACTAATGGGATCATCTGTTCAAATCCACACAAAGAAGCCAAATGTAAAGTAGATATAAATCTTTGTTCCATGTAAGCCAGGTGTCTACACTCTGTGGAGCATATGCATGTTTTCGCGGTGTATAGTTGAAAGTACGGCATCATGACGTTTTATGCAAACAGACACTGTTGAAATTCACCATATCGTGGACATATTATGTATTCGCTCAGCATTTTTATCTGAATGCAGCATCTGTCCGCCGACATTTAATAATTCAACATGCATTGCAATTGCACCACTGATGGCATTCTCCTCTTACCTAGCGTACAATTAACTAAATTACCATGCACCCATCTGGTGAGGTAATGAAATGCATAGATTCAAGTTGCGAAGACTGTTTTATATCAAACTGTAAAGATAAAATTCAACGGATGAAAGGATCTTCAAAAAGCCAGATCTGTCAATAGACCAGATGTGACCATGTCTAAACAGTTTAGGCTAAGATCACAAGGCTAAACTAGACTCACTTTGACTAACATCTTCTCAGATTCTCTCACCTGTATCTTAATGCAATACACCATTTAGATGTCTTGCAAAGATGAACATACCATGAGGTGGAATTAAATCAAAGATCACACTCAGAACAGAGGAACTTCTTGAGCTTTGGCAAAAACACAATAAAAGTAGACATTGATGTATGTATGCCGCACAGATAGACGTTTATATAACTTCTGTTTCAAAAAGCTACAAAAAAACAAGCTTCTGATCTTTTTATGCTTTGCAGCTTGTGGCAAATGATAATTGCAGTTGCAAATAACCCTGCACTGAATGTATAGTTCATTATATTGAAGAATATGTCTGACAGAAACTATTTCATACTGTGAATGACTGTAATTTAGTCTGTCAGTCTTTTTATCCTTTCAACGGCGATGTGTTAAATCATAAACTTAAGCCTGCTGTTGTTCCAGACAAGAAGACGAGGGATTGAACAGGACTTGCGTCTCTCTATCAAACTGCTCACACTTATAACAAAAGCAAAAGCACTCTCAGGAGTGTTCCTAAGGTCTTTCATTACTTTCCATCCTTTCATCGACATTCATTAAAACTTACAGATGGCAAAAACTAAAGCAGCTTTTACTCAAGTTAAGCGTGAAAGTGTCCTGAATATCAATGACATTTTAATATTAAAAACAATCTTCAACATTTTTTGGAAAGTCCCCAAGGATGCTGGACGCAGCCAAGAAGCACATTAAAGGTACTGTGGAATCCTTCCAAAATAAAAAGATGTCACAAAATATACAATGTAAAAATACATGAGAAAACAGGAATGCAAACAAAGCAATTCACTCTTCTAAATATGCCTGCTAGTGTTTATTTTGGACACATACTGTGTGGGGACATTTAGTTTGAGGTTGGCTCATCTCTATAAACTCCATAAAGTCCATCATGATCTCTCCGGTGCTGCTGATGAGTCATCAGACCAGGCAGCTCATTGCATTCATTTGGCATCGGGCCTAATCGTTTTCTTTTTGATTGCAAGGAAGAAAACAATCACGTCTCTGTAGTTGGGAGTTACTGCTTGAATCTAACCACACAAATTAAATCATATTTCATACTCAACTAAATTGTTATTATTCAACCGAAGTTCAATGAGTTTGAAAAAAAACAAAGAGACACAGGCCCTCATCTTGACCGGATTACATGTTTCTACAAAGAGAAGGCTTGGTTTAAAAAGTGATACTGCAGCACTAATGTAATCAGTAACCTGAAAACGAATCTCTAAATGGAAAATTCATTTCATTTCGCAGCCTGGATCTCGTTATTTGCAGTTTAGGTCATCATTCCTATCTATTATGGTAACATCATAGTTATCACAAATATAATTGCTGGGGTCTGAGGACATGGCCACAATGTGACAATAGAGTCCAATACAGCTAGAAGTTCATGTTGTAAGACAATAAGACACATTTTAACCAGATCATCTCATGGCCATTGTTACAGGACAAACCCATGTCCCTGTGCAATGCTTTGCAAAGCACGTTGTAGCACTATGAAGAGTACACATCCAAGACAGTTGCTCTATATACTAGGCTCAGCTCAAAGCTAATTATGAATCAATTACAAAATTACAATGGACCTGAGATTTCAAGTATTTCCTAAAGGGTGCTGCAAAAGTATAATTCTTAAAATGGAACCTCTCCTCCACCAGAAAGACATCCAACCTTGTTTCCCTATTAGTGTGGGCACTCCTTCAAGCTCGATCAAGAGAAATGAGTCACTCCATTGGCAACTGTTTAAAGGGGGACCAAAATTATTTGAACCACAAGAGGGCTGTTAACTTTGCTGCCATTTCGTCCTCGAGGCTGCGCTTAATTCGAGCTGTTGTCAGGGGCAGGTTGAGTAGTTCATGCAGAACACTCGGTCCCGAGGCTGAATCTTGTAGGTCTGCAACTCTGAGTCCTCACCATGACATTCACATTTGACATCCTTTCTTAGGAGGTTTGGACAGTTTCAATAGGCTGTCACGGCATTTGTAATATAGCAAATGTAGGTTAGGACCAAGGTGAAAGGGCTGTTATGAATTATAAGATCTAAATTCTGCTTCACCTCGAGTTAGACGGATGATAAATATCCCCTTCAAAAACCACCCAGACACAGACAAATAAGGTGACTGGGATTTCTATTGAAAGGGTGCAGTCCCTGTGGTTTTGGTGCGTGTATGGAATCAGTGATATCATTGCCTGCTTCACTGCATCCCAAATCAAGGCAAGGATCAGGAGGCACTCAAACCTCTCCTGTAGATTCAGGCAGAAGTCCCGGCTAATTAAACCAGACACAAACAGAATCATTGTATAGTAAAAAATAAGTAAGGTTGTTATGAATCCAGCAATGTCTGTCAGTGTGTCCCTGCTTTGTCTGAGGGGAGAGACAACCGAGTCGGAAGCACCATGTTTCGGACTGGAGGCGAGCTCTGTTTTCAATCAAGGTCTGCTCCCAAACATGTTCCTGCTCACTCTCCCATACACGCATACATAAACACCACCTTCCTCCTCTTCAGTGTTTACACTCTGGCTGCTTTGACCTGGGGTTTCCACAAGCATTGGGTTTCCTGAATTAAACTGACCCCGGTTACTTTTCTTTCAAAGAAAACAAATCAAGTTGAAAGCTAGATTTGTTGCATGCTTAGAAATTGCAAATGACAGAGAAAACTCACGCAGCTGAGTTCCTAATCTGAGTTGGCCAAAATATCTGAGGGAAAATTTGAAGATGGAGGTGATAGGTTAGCAATCGAGAAGAGAAAAAAAAACAAAAAAAAAGTGAATGTTTGGGATTCAATAGACGTTCCAGCACAACCACACAGTATAAAACTGCAGCTTTGCACACAGTGTACAAAGTGCCAAAATCTATTTATGATGACATGTGCAGCTAACGTTGGAAGATAAGTCAATTATGTAACACAAAAAGTGTTCAAATGCAAAACTATTAAATGCTGCTACAGGTTTATTTCAGTCTCAACAGAATATTACATTGGACCATAGAACATGGTATAAAGAAGAAGAAAAAATAAGATTAAGAAAAGAAAAACATAAAAAAAACAATATAATGTGGATTCAAATTACAACAGAATACTATATAGTGACGGGAACACTGGTTACAAGTAGAAATGATGTTAACTTCTGCTTATGTCTATGAACAAAAAGTAAAACTAAGAAGAAACTAAATCTTTACGACACTTAGTAGTGTTCGAATAAATTCAAGTATTGATTTTACAGCCTCCATACTCTTCGAGTAACATGAAGAAATGTTGGGGGCCAGAGCTCATCATGGACGACAAGACCACAAAGTATTTTAAAATACTAAATGTATTCATACCATGATGACACATATTGAAAAGTACTACTTTAGAAAAATTAAATGCTGGACAGGAATGTGCATAAAGATCACTTCTTGAACTTCAGTAATCAGTTTATTGGTATTGATCTGGAAGGTAAGAGATCTCACTCTCTCTACCTCCCTTTCCTCCATCAAGCCTTACGTCTTGCGCCGTCGTTTTCCACCGACGAGTGATGAAGCCGCTTTGTCTCTCTTCATGCTGGATGCTCGCTTTTGGACTGAGGTCCTCTCTGTGTCTCTATGAAAGATCAATTTCAGAGATAACCTTTTAGTCTTTAGAGAACGGAGAATATCAGAAATGTGCAAAACTAAGGTTAAAGTGATTAAGGCGTTATCATTGGTTAACTTCTGCTATACAGTTGCCGTACACTAGCTGCTTGGTATCTACACACAATCAACCAAACCCCAAAAATAAAAAAAGATTCCAGCAGTAAATTACCTACCGACTATGATGCCCCAGATCCATAAAGACCACACGTTATTATTATCAATGTACAATAGTTTTCTTAAAATTGCCTTCCTCCCTGCTGCCATCCTCGGTGTATATCTTGGAGAAAACATTTGAGACGGGAGGGAAAAGCTTAGAATTTAATCACATCTAAGATTTAGTTATTTTCTGGTCTACATGGTTACTTAAACTATTACGATCTTGCTGGATCAAGTCTACCACAATAGTCATAATGTATGTGGTAAATGAGAAAATGAAATGTATGACTGTTTTCCACTAGTTGCCTCTATGTAACTAGCAGTTTATACAGTCAATTAACAGCACAGGCCCCTTTACTTTGAGATACTACATATTATGCAGACTGCAATCATCTGACAGGAATGGAGGCAGGTGCATAGCCTGAGTGCATTCACACTTGATTATCGTGCTGCTGAAGTGATAGAACATTTGATCAACAGGCTGCTTGACACCCCTCCAGCAAATGCATTACCCCAGAAAAACTCCCTTAGATAAAACATTGTGTGTCCAATTAAAATAGGACAAGTCAACACAAAGCTCTTAGTCCACCCAGCACAGAGACAGGAAACACTATTCTATTTTGGGACTTATCCTCCCTTGTACAAGTGTAAAGTCAATTGTTAGGTCTAACTAGCTCGACTTGAGATGGGCAGACAGGGTTCTCCTGGCTCAATATGAGGCAGAGGTGATCATGTGCACTGCCCTGGACCATGTATGGTCAATGTACTAAATTGTGGTCAAATTGTTACAAGGTCAGTGGTGTAGGTTAATCAAAATATTTACTACTACTACTTTATATTCTTACATTTTGCCAGTGTAAACGTAGTACAAGATGGCACACATAAAAACTGATGATACAAAACTATATAAAAACATCAGAAGACATTACCAATAATAACCTTGCCGCCTTTCCATGTGGCACATGTTCATTTGTAAAGCAGTGACAGACATTAGCGTTTATCGGGCCGGCTCCTGCTTTGCCACTTTGTTTCTTCCCTTAAAATGTCACTCGGACACAACATGTAAAGTACAAATGTACTGCGACAGTTTAAAACAAGCTCACTTCAGCCTATGCTGGTGCCTCATTGAAAATTACCCAAGTGAAAGGAAGTCCTGGGAAGGTGTTTGTTTGAATTCAAGAAAACAACTACTTTCACATTTAGCACTTTTAAAGTCAACTTTTACATTAATTCTACAGAAAGATGGTGCATAAAGAATTTTATAGACAATCTAATCTGTGCTTTTCTTTCAGAAAATACACTAAAACGATTCTGTGTTTATTCTGACAGAAACCTCACTGCTGTCACAGGAACACAAAATAAGCGTTTTTTCACCATTATGGATTACTTTCTGCCCAACCAATATTTCTTGCTACCGTGTAAGCTCTGGTGGGCTCCACAGCTCATTCTGTAGTGTTGGTGGACTCTTGAGATCTCTCCATAAGAAGTGTTCAGATAACATGAACCCACAGTATCTTCCATGTGGAACCACTTACAGCTTCACATGAATCTTTAGCTGATTATACTTCAGATATACTATATTACTCTCCAGCCGGTGATAAGGTCCTCTGGCTTTTCATCTTGACGAGATGGAGAGGAAAAACAAAATTCCAACAATGGAATTTGGGTCAGAAGTCCACATGTGGGGAGGATAGGGAGACAACCTAGTATAGCGGATTTCTTATAAGCAGTCTGTGCAACGTGTGGAACAGCTACACTGTCATCACTGCCAGAGTCTGACAGAGGCTGGGGGATGGAGATACAGCCTTACCTGATGGAAAGAACATTTTGTTTCATACTTTTTTTACAAGCACAGAAGACACCAGCAGAGCGCACACAGTGTCAACTGGTTGGGAATACTAAAACGCATTTAGAATCATTTCATGGTTTGTTATTTGTACTTGTCTCACCAATGACAAGGGTTAGTTTAGTAGCACAAGGCGACGCCGCCAGCAAGAGAGGGAGAGAAGACGTAGGCAATGTGACACCGGAATGCTTCACTGTCTTTGTGAGCAGTTCGCAAGTAAATGAGAATCGGGTCACTGCAGTTGTTTATGCGAGTCCTCTGGGGTGAAGAGATATGTGCCGTTTGTCTTGTTGCAGATGACAGCAGCAACAGCCCAGTATGTGGCAGTAAATAGTCGAGAAAAATAAAGGGGATAAAACTGAATACAGAAAGCAGCCTTTCAAATACTGAATCTCAATATTCAGAATACTTGTCACAGCTATAGTCGGTTTGAAATATGACCACCGCTGACCCTGGACAATAAACATCTGTTGCTGACATAACAGTATAATTGGATAAAATCATCTTTCCTGGCATGTTAAGTTGTCCAAACAATCACCAATAGCTCAGGGACTCTGACTACTAGAAAAAATATTCACTATTTGCCAACAATTTGTTGACAAGAGTGCCATCTTGCTGCCTCCGATAACAAGTGAAGATCCCAAATTCAAGGAAAAGCATCATATTGCACGTTCAGAGAGGAGAGTAGGACAACCTGTCCTGAGTGAGTGAGAAGCTCGTGAAAGCAGGCGGTAGAGCGGCTTAGCTGCTCTTCTTGTTTTAGAAGAGGGATTTTAGGATTTTCATTCTTAACTGATAGAAGGGCATGGCATGTTATTTATCTACATTGCTCTACTCCCATAAATACAGTACTTACAATGTCAGGTCACAGAGTGTTTTAACATTGTTCATGGACAGACTGGTTTCAAATACTCCTCACTAGAGCTGCAACGGTTAATCGATTACTGATTAGTTGTCAACTTTTAAATTAATAATCAAATATTTTGATAATCGATTAATTGGTTTGAGAATTATTTTAGGAAAATTCTCTGATTCCAGCTTCTTAAATGTGAATATTCTCTGTTTCTTTACTCCTCTAAGACAGCAGACTGAATAACTTTGAATTGTGGGAAACACTGAACAACATTTTTCACCATTTTCTGACATTTTCTACACCAAACAACTAAAAAAAAACAATAAATATAGTCATCAGAAAATAAAATGTCTTCATTTCACTTAATGGTTTTTAAAGGCTGTACTCAAGTATTTGCAGTTCTACTTGTTATCACTTTCTAAATGTAAAACTAATGTAACTCAAGGTGTCAATTTTCTGTGTGTCAGATACTCCTGACAACAGTGTGTTGACATCCAATCTGTGCATAAATACAAATGTGCAATTACTTGTAATGGAAAAAACAGTATGTAGCATATGTAGCATTAGTGGATGGCACAGTAAAAACTAAAATCACAAAAGGTTTCTTGAGAGTAGAATAAGGCAGCAGAACCACTTACTCTGGGTGTCTGGCAGGCTCTGGACCGAAGATGTCTGAAATAGAACTGCAATGGAAAAGAGGGAGTGAACAGAAGAAAAGAAGGAAAATGTCATCAGTTTTACTGATATAGGGTATTTGCTGTTTCAATATATTGCATTAGTTTTGTCCCAAGTAACAGCCATAAAAGTGAGATATTTCTAATTATACTGTGATGCTCTGAAAACTATGAATGGTACCAATTTTCTTTAAACTCATGTGTTTTGAGCAGGTGTTTTCACTGCATTACACGTTGTGTAGACCCAACTGTCAGCCAATGACAAGATAAACATACCACCGAAAAAATGGTCAGAGATGTTACTTCAAAGGGAGTAAAAATTAGATACGATTGTTCACAATACCAAGAGGCTTTAGTTGATTGAGGCAGAGTTGTAGTACTTGAGAGCGGTCTTGGTCTCAAGAGCACTTTTTGAAGGTCTATTCTCGGTCCCCGTCAAATAAAACCTGCAGATTTTATTTCTAGACTACAACTTCGGGGAAATCACGTAACTGCCTGTGCGGTAATATATTTGTTAACATCATTACTGTGGTTTGATGGCTTTTAATGCAACCAATAATTGAATAATTTATACTGTTTGATACTCTTCCCTTCCCAACCACTCCTTGAAAGTGACTGCAGGAGACATGAGGCTGTTAGGGAGGACATGTCCGCCAAATCTTTGTTAATAAAATTTCGCTACTAAAATGAGACCAAGAGTTCATCTGCAAAACAGCGTCCTCAAGAAAACACAAAGCACATATGTAAACGCTGACAGACGGCTGGAACCAAATCAAACTTTTGTCATCGTTTGTATTTTCTTACTCATAGAAAACAAAGGAACATTCTTCTTTCCCTATGCCTGAATTACACTCGTACACAGAACGTGATGCTGAGCTGAAATGATTTGGCCTATTTACTGTGAAGCTGGTCTCATTTCTGTCAATCTTCAGCACTCCAAATAAAAAGGCTTCCACAACATGACAAAGTTGTTCTGCAGCTTTCTTTTTATTTCATACACAAACTCATGTAGACTGTTCAGCTGGTTAAAACTACCCTGGCAGAAACATATAGCTTATGTCTGGAGTTCTCTTGTTACACTCACCTCTGTATACCGAGGTTGCAACATAGGACAGAAATGCCAATAAAATGACAGTTTCTGTGCATTTCTAAGTGAATGATGAAAGGAAATTAAATTAATTCTGCTTTTAAAAGGACGTGTAAAGACATGATTTATTCATACGTCACAAATGGTGACAAGACACGAGTTTGCTGCCAAAAGAAAGAGAAATTCATTGGAATGGGGACTAAAATAGACAAAATGCACTGGATAAAAACACTTAACACTCTAGCAAATATAACGAGGTTAAAAGCAGATTGCCACACAAATTGCAAAATAAGTTAATACACTAGAAAACGGTAGCAACATTAATATTTCTAAAACAAAAATAGTCAGCGATTTTCCTTGAGGATTTATGAACTGAAAGAGATACAAGAGGAAGCATTGCTTTCCTCTAACATGATCACTGTGAAATTACACTTGGATATATTCAAACTGTAGAAAGGTGGTCAAAAATAAGGATCTGACTCAACCTTGACAAAAAGCTTTGAGTTTGTGACCTCCAGTCAGTGAATCAGGATGTGTCCACTATCTAGGGCTCACCTGCTGATGGACACGTCACTATAGGTGGGGCTGGAGGACAATTCAATCCTTCTCGCAGATGGCTCCACGTCTGATTCTCTGTCTTCTACCTTCATCACTGAGTCGCTCTTTGATTCTGCAACTTGATCTAGAGGAGGCACACATGCATAGTTCATCATTGTGTCAGACTCCCGGGGAGAATTAAACAGTGGAGGAATGACCTGTCAAAAGGGGGTGTGCATACAATCAGAAGTAGATTTAAGGTCGTGTTGGTACTGTTACATATCTGTAGCCTCTCACACAGTGGACAGTGTCACGCAATTTGTTGTGCCTTTTTCAATTTGTATATAGCATAGTATATATTAATTCAATTAGTTAGTCCCACTTATTTAAACATCTCCTGTGGCTAGAGTACATTTTATTCCTTGAGAAAGGTAATGAGTGCTGCACTACCTGCCGAGGGTGTTTTCTGTGCATCCTCTTCTTCCACAGTGACTTTCTGTTTGATACGAGTCGGCCTGGGGGCTTCTAGGCGATACCGAACCTGGGCAATCAGGCGGGAAAAGTCACTGTTGTGCTTCTTCCCTGCAGGAAAAAATAGGATATATGATGGAATAGCTTTAAATAAAAGGACATCATGTTTAATTATGCAGCAGTATCTGAGGTACAGAGTGCTAGTCAATGATCTTAATGCAACACTATCTTATCGTTTATGGTTAGGGTCACTGAAAATGCTGAGTTGACAGCCCACCTAGTCGTGGATCAAAGAAAATACAAAGAAATAACTTCCCACAAATAGGCTACTGTAGAAAATGTTGTTTGGGAATTTACCATGAATTAAAATGTATATTGAATGCGGGCTCATTTTTCTTTGTGAGACAGTATCTGTAACGCATCAGGCCGATCAGACTCATACTTTGAAATGACAACCTTGAAAGGTTGAATATATTTGAGAAATACAAGGTTTTATTCTGTATTTAAAGCGTAACACCACAGATGCAAGGTCCAAGATGTCTGTGGCAACAAAATCCCTAAATTACATTGGTGGAGGCCAAACAGTCACTGAAAATACATTATAACTGCCTGTGAACAGACGCAGGCAAAAAGAAGAATTGAATCACTTCCTACATAAGCATCTGCACATCTGTGATGTTCCTACAAACAAAGACAGGAGAACAGAGAAGTGAGAGAAATAATACTGCAATTAACACTCGTGTGATCTACACAAGGAACAACTCTACTACCTCAGACTTGTCACTGATATCTTCAGGAGCAAAGCAGTACTTTATTCTCACACGGAAATTAGCCAATTCATTTGCAAAGCTTTACCCGTGTGTGGCTCCAAATACACAGTACATAATGTAGTATTGTTTGTATTTTTGTTTACAGGCTTGTAAGAATTAGACAGTTGTGCATTTTGTGGGTTACAAGTTATGGTGACATTTCATGCACCAGGTTCATTTTACAGACATGCGGGAATGCAGAACACAGCTTTACAGTAGACTCCATCAGGCATTGCAAAATGCAAAGGGTTAATATTGCATTTTTAACATTGCCGGATAGTGGATAAACTATAACAAACATCTCCGGGGCTGGTCTCCCAAAGCAGGATTTCCAGGATTTTCCTTGCTGCTATTCTGGGTTCTAAGATTTTTTTTTCTAAATAACCAGCTGCTGATTGTATTATTAACAAAAGAATGTCATAAAGGCTGCAAGCCACCGGTGGATTCGGTGTGTGCTCCTTTCACCTTCCTGTCTGCTCATTCACCATTTTCAATGCTAGCAGAGTGAGTCATCCACATCCTCCTCTGATAAATCAAGAGGTTATCACACCACTGCAGCTATTTATAGACCCTACCTACTGTGAGTCACAACCCTCTTTCAACCAATTTCAAAGTTAGCATTGCAGAGTTATTTCCAACAAGCTTTTTATCTCGTTCAACCATGACATCACCACTTTGGATAATGTTCCCTAAAGCTGCTGTTTTTGCTTGACCTCTGCCCTTTAAGATAAAAACACAGACCTGGTCTACAGTGGACGTCTGTGCCTTCGTATGTCTGTATGAGTGATTGAGTGATTATCTGCAGTATGCGCTCATATCGAATGGAATAACAAAATCTTAGATGGACACTTAAATAGCCACGTAACCCTACGTATCATAATAAAGAATGTCTTCAGAAACAGGTTCACTCAGGCAAAATCTCATCAATTTTAAATATTTCCATTCCGCCCCTTGCTGCTACATTACTCACTGGAGACGCAGCTCTGCTTGTTTCTGTTGATAGCCGATAGTGGCTGGCTCCCAGACAGAATAAAGTAAGTTTGATATTAACGCTGGGCGACACATTGAATATGCAAAATCGTAATGATTTTGTTGGAGACTTGTAAATATTACTTTTACAGTTTCCAAAAGAACAGTGTCAACTTCTCCACTGCTCAACCACGCAACAATAACAAAGATTCGACAAAGATGATCTCATGCCGATGGATTTAGATCTCAAATGGATTTTCTACTGAATTGCCAGCCGAGAGATGGAAAAAAAGAAATGCATTGATTGGTCTAAAAAGCCTTTGCTTTGGAAATTGTCGTCATAAGCTTTCATTAAGATGCCCAAAGCACATCTAATATTTAGACATATTCTACCGACAAGACCTCTAAATCCTTCCTAGATCAAGCTTGTGTCCTGCATTGTTGTGCCGAACATCTTCTGTTAAGGTTATTGTGGTTACATAAATGTAATTGATGGTGCTGTTAGATTGCTGCCAGACCACTGTGTTAAATATAGGTGGGTGTCTCTCTTTGAGTGCAGCAAGTGCCAACGAATATGGATTGAAGCGGAACACTTAGTTTGATAAAAAAAACAAAAAAAATTTTTTTTGGACTTTACAACGCTCTAGAGTTATTTGAACTGTTTGGATCACACAAGTTGGAAATAATATTAATGTTAGTGGAGCCTGACTTTTATCTGCAACTGTGGAGAAATCTTATGTTTAACCAGAACAAAAAGACATGAAAAAAGAAAGTTTTGAATGAAGCTTCAAAGCTTTGAACTCTTCAGGTTTCGAGTTTTGCCATTTGATAGTTTGAGGTATTCTTACAGAAGAATCAAATCATCAAAAAGGATTACCCTTCAGATAAGTACAAAAAAGGAAGTATTTTAATGAAACGTCCTGAGGGAAACCCTGATCAAATCTAAGATGCTGCCTTGAATTCCTGTTCTTGTCTCATGAGCGTGAGGGCAAGGCCAGGTTTATTTGTACAGCACCTTTCAAACACAGACACAGAGCAATGCATAGGACATAGAATAAATCTAAGAGGCAATGAAAAGGAAAATAACTACAAGAAGACAAAGGAATGAAAGTTATAGTGCTTGTAGTTTCAAAGATGTTGTCGATGGAGTGAGTGCAATAGATGATTCATTTTGAATGATGCAACATTTCTACATGCACTGTGATTCTGTATGTATATCTGATTACTTTAATAGAGGCTGTTACGTCCTTATTAAAGTTTGGTATGGAATATCCCTCTTTGACATGAGTCAATATCATACTGTAAACATAAACCGTTTAATAAAAGTGAAGCTAATGAAGTCTTTCTCTAGCAATGCTGTCCTGACCGTATTGATAAATAGATGTGTTGCATTGCCTGCTTATATTGACTAGCCTTATCTTTAAAAGCGATTCACAGCTGCACACTCACGCCAACAGGAGAACTCAATAGAGTCGCCCTCCTAAAGCTAGGGTTGGTAATCTTAAACTTAAAAAGCTAGCAAATGTACGATATATTTTTTTTAATTACCCAACCGAAAAACCCAGTCCCAGTGTTGCAAACTATTTTCCAGTGAAAGTATCTCGCAGCAATAGCTCCGACAGTCAATACATCTAGCGAGAAAGTCACCAAATCAGCAACACTGAAATCCCGTCTCTTTAGGCATCCCTTAAAAGCCACTCCCCCACAATTATCTTTATGAACGTAAACATATAATGAACGTATACAATGAACAAAACTATTGTTAGTACGCATAGCTGTCAAGATAGCAGCTTGTGGAAGACTCGGGTGACGCGTAATAAGTGCACGGACAGGTAGACGGGCAGGTAGACGGGCTAATTACAGTCCTGCGACAGCCGCAGATACTCGACCTTTTATTTTTTGTGGCAGAGCACTCTATTGATGGCTGTCAGTATGTAATGAGAATTTCAACACATAACAAAAAATGTTTTTGAAGAAGATTACCAACCCAGACCGAAATGTTTTTCAGTCTTAGTATTCATAAGTGCGAAGAAATAACAGTTAAAAAGGAGAAAGAAACATTACAAATCATTTCAGCGAACACAAAATTGGTCAATTCATATAGAGTTCAAAACAAATTCATACATTGGAAAAAAGTGGTCCGTCTCTCTGAGATAACATTTTGCCTTTTTTTGTCTGATGCGTCTTTTTCTACAGAAGACAGCGTTCATATATTTTTGTAACTGAACCACACAGTTGGACACAGTTTGGCCACGCGGCTACTAGCCACTGGAAGTCATAGTATCATCTATACATGTTTTCCTCAGTGATGAGATAAATGCCAAAAGATTTAAACAGTTTTCATCAAACAAAGTTGATCATCATAAAATGTGTTTTCCTAGAGTAAACAATGTTGGCTTTAAAACGTATGTATCCTCAGAAAATATATTAGTGAGGCTATGCATAGAGAAGAGGGGAAATTGTACATAAAGTTGCAATTTCACTGACGGCATTTATTTTGTAATTTGGGATAATGTAATAAATTATTTTGTTGTTTTTTTTACTCTAGGTCTATTGAATTTTGTTTGCACTTTTTGTACACTTGGCAAAGGCGTAGTGGTATTATATTGCACTTGATGATATTTTTAACCATTTGAAAGTGGTCAAATACAAGTAGCTAGTTTACTTATCTTTCTGCAAAGCTAATTAACTACAAACGCAGTATTCTGACAAGCAATTTCCTTACATGCAGCCCCACACCGTACATGCATATTTTAACAGAACATGTAAAATCATGCAAAGCAATTTCATCAGTTGAACTTTGTTCACAGATTTTAAGCTGCCAGCTTGACGAGTCAAACCCCTGAGGTGTCAACAGATTCATAGTGAAAAAACATCACTTACTGTAATTTGAATGCACCTCATCGATCTCCTTTTCGGACTGATTCTTTGCGAAAACCATGACCTTTGAATTGACAAAAACATACATTAGCATTAACCATATATACGTATATATATTTATTAATACTCCACAGGGTACATTTGAGAGGAAAGAGTATCATGAGGCCCAAACGCACTGAAAGCGTCCGACGTGCACGTTTTGAAGTACACCTATTGTTTTAAACGGCCATGCACCTACTCCAACCTTGTTTCAATTTTGGAGTCAAATGAAGACCCAGCGATTAAAGCTGGGTTTTTTTCTGCAGCCGCAAATCTGTCAAGAGAGAGCTGAAAGGAAGAAAATGCTAAAGATTTCTCCCCAAAGGATGATATTTTGTGAAAAAATATTAATAATACTGCTATTGTCGCTGGTTCAAAAGACAAACAACGCTGGCAGTCGGTCCCATCAGCTACCACCGCTTAACGTTAATACCATTTGTGACTTGATGGCTGGTTTGTGTGCTTTCTCTGCAGGACAGTGTCTGTACTCAGCCAGAGATTGTTTATGAGGCAAGAGAAGCTTCCCTCTGTAACACCACTGTACAACAGCGAGTGGACTAAGAGTTTTGATATTCCAAGAACTCCAAAGTGATAAGTCTTCCATCTAGACGATCGTGTGACGCCAATTTCACATTTTCTAGTTAAACTTTCATTCTTTTCATATCAATGATTTAAAAGACAACGTATTAATGGTTATCTTTAATATATAGAACCTCACCTAAACAGCAACCTTTTCCTAAAATATTTCTGCTTCTGTGGTGTTGGCATTTAAAATCTGAAACAGGAAACAGGAGCACCAATTGATGTGCGTGAAATGAGGCGCTACATTTATCACTTTCAGTGCGTTTGGGGCTGTACAATTCAAGCCCACAATATATCCAATTAAGCTGTTACTACACACGGGTTTGGCTTTCCCCTGCAGTTGATTCCTGATCTTCTCATTGGCCTCCAACTCTTTGGCAATATCTTCAGCTGTTGACAAGGAAAAAAAGTCTTTATTCGTCTTAGGATCACAAATATTGCCCGTTAAATTCTACAATTGAACAAAAAAGGGTTTTGAGGCAAATCCTGGGAATACCAGTCAAACAAAACACAACCTGTGATGCCAAATGTCTACATACATCTTCAACATATGTTATTGTCTCATAAAAATAGGATGTATGCCTCTGCCAACAAGTTAAGAGACCCTTTACATTTATGTCTGTCCAAAAATGTCTTCATCATTTTGGAAATTTGTGTTTAATGTTTAAAAATGTGTTTAGAAACAAATCTCAGATTTGACTTTAAATACAGTATCACCCCTATGGTGTAATGGACCAAATGCCCTCACCTGATTTGGGCATTAGGGAATCACACTGGGCATTGTATGCGTGGACAAACTCCTGGTGTCTTTTGATCAGCTGGTCTCGGGAACCCTGCATTGAGAGATGGCACTCCTTCAGCCTCCTCTTCAGCTCCTGCATCGAAAGCAGGTTGTACACGAGCTTCGTCATTGGACGCCTCACATTGCCAAGAGAGCTGCAGCAGAGATATATTTCAGTAATCGCCTGATATAACGTGGGGCATTTACATGCTCAGCCGTAATAAACTTCTAAAACTGTTCAACATGAGAGTCTTGGACATCATAAGCAGATGATTGATTAATGATATATAACCGAGCTTTGTCAGCTTGGTGGAGGAACACACTCTGAGGTTCTATAGTCTTGTTAAATTCATACAAGGCCGTCAAATGTGTTATATTATATTGCATACTTTGTCTTGAATAGAAGACATTAAGTGTAAATGATTAAGGTTGGTAGCGAGAGGAATCCTCTCCATGCAGGTTGACTACATGAGGCCAGAATATTAAAACCTCTGAATTTATCATTATGACATCAGGGTGTACTTCAGATTAAGTATTTTGCCCGGCAACAAAAATGACCAATCCTTAACAGAACATCATATTTGCGGGAGAGGATCAGTCTCTCAAGTTATGTCACAGAACCTGTCTTCAGCAAGAGGAGCAGCCAGGTCGGTGGCAATACTACAAATACAGTAATAAGTGCTGTTGTATAGTTTCAGTAATTCTGTCATTTTCAGCAAACAAAAGTGCAATAACAAGAGTATATGACTTCAAGTTTCCAAGTAAAAACAATACACAGGCACTTTCAGAGGAAACTATCTTCTCAGACAGTGGAAAGGACAGATAGCAGGAACAGTGTGCATATAAAGTCAACCGACGGTGCATCCGACAATGTACATTGTGAAGATCTGTAGTTAAATAAAATGTGTACATGTCTAGAATGTTTCTGTGAAGCTACAGTTCACATTTTGGAATACACACATTTGTACACAATATCAGGTTTTATCTCTACATACTGAAGATCCAGGACATTTACAGTACATACTGCCTCTCACAAATACTAGAAGCCAGGAAAAAACAGCTGGCCTAGCTCCATCAACCCTGAAAAAACAAAATCCAGTCCAAACAGTCACATACCACATAGATTGACAATTCTTAACAGTTTTTTGTTAATTAATAGATTTTAATCCAATGATCTCTATAAAGTGTCTTTTAGTTGTACTTATGTCCCACCTCCCTACAGAGCATTATTGAGCAAACAGCAGCAGACAGCCTTTATTTAAGTGATCAGCTAAGTTGGTATTTTACCTCCTCAAGCCTTCCTTCTTCTCTCCTCTGGTAAGACATGTGTCCAGATGCTTGTTGATGAACTGCTGTGGTACACTGACAGAGCACACAGGGCACTCCACTGCAAAAAAAATGCACAAGATATTATTTGCTGCTTAGTTGAAAATAAACCGTTTTTTGATCCTATGTCACATTACATTTCCGTGCCAAACCATACCATCCCTCTCAATGCACTTAATAGGAAACAGTACAAATAAAGAGCTGATCCTAAACAAAATACCCACAATCTAAAAACAGCAACACTTACTGACCAACAGCAAGACGTAAAACAATCCTTTGCTAAAAGACAATATGTTCACCGACTACTGTGAAGAAGTATACCGTACGTTTTCGTATTGTTTCAGCTCGCGTCAGATCATGCATAGACTTGGTAATATGAGAACATCCTTGAATGTACCAGCAGGAAGTATTTAAAACAGTTTCCTCTCACAACACCCAACATAAAAATGACTTTGACACAACAATAAAGGTGGCTTATTGTTCACACTGTAATGGATTTCCCATACCAAGCTAACTTCTAGAACAGTTTTAGAGTTTCATCGTGCATCCTTCAGGGTGTCTTTCTGTTAAGTTTGGGGACACAAGAGAGGGTCCTCACCAGATTTCTGCTTGGATCACCACACACACACACACACACACACACACACACACACACACACACAGAGGAAGAGCGACTTCATTCTCTGCTCAAGACACCATTACTTCACTATATCTTTACATAGCAAACACATGTTTGCTGCTATATTAATGTTCTGAATTTAGAATTTTGCATCTTTAAGACAGATACACCAAAAGGACTATACATACTGAAGATGATACTCTTCTTTTAAATTGCCCGAAAAGCTTAATGTTGTGCCTGCTTCATAGACTTATAGAAAGAGATTCCCGTACGCAATTATTAAAAGCGAACATGCGACAGATGAATGTGACCCATTCTGTCGCCTTGTGAACATGAATCAGTGAGCTAATGGATGGATTCAGCGTTATTAACCTACAGGTAGAAGGGCTTCACCTTTGATTACGGGCTTCACGTCTTTTGATGGTGATGAAGAATGCGTCATCTCAACCCCGGTGCTCATACTGTGCGAGACTCCGGCTTCCTGTTTGACTGACATCAAACCCTGGATAGATGCCACCTCCACATCCATCGGCTCTTCCTTCACAACCACTGGATGTTGATCAGTTGCTGAATGTAGGTCAGCGTCATTTGCATTGTGGGTGTGTGCCGTCTGTATTGTCCTCCGCTGAGCAGACTGAGCTACAGAACCGTCTCGCTGGGTTTTCTTAGTGGGAGATGTTTTAGGCCTCTTTTGGAAAAAGTGACTCAAAACTGAGCCGTTACACTTCTGGCCCATCTCTCTGGGAGTTCTGCATTTGACAGCTGAAGCTGGGGTCCTTGGCGATATTGGAGGAGATTCAAAATGTACTTTTGACAACTGCTGCCTAGAAAAACAAAAAAGGCAAAAGGGCATGTGAATTAAAACGTGTGTGTTGCATTTTCAAAAACACAAATGTGCAGTATACTTACATAAAGTATATTATGTAGTGTAAAGGACTTATAGTTGAGCCCATTAAAGAGAGAAGAAGAGTCAATAAATACTGTAGACAGTAAAGTGAGCCCTTTGACGTTAAACTGCACCTGCTCAATTATCTCGCTTCTTTTCTGCGGAGCGAGAAAAAGTAGGCACTTTGGCTACAGTCTTGGAAATGTGGAAAGCAAACAAATTTCAGCTGGGCCATTACTTGGCAATAAAACGGGAACCAATGAGGTGTGTAATGTTCCGCTTTCCATATCTAGAACTAATTTGTGCTTGCTGTCCCCATCAGAGCAGGTGCACGCACACACACATGCCAAAGCCACTTTGCACAAATGTCACATGGAAACACCTCCTCTTTCTCACTGCAAAGATCTGGAGGAAATACGCTCCATTCGTTTTGTAACACCGCATACAGCCCGTTAGAACTTTGATTTTGTATCGCAACAAATGCTTTGTACTATATTTAGAGAAGGTAAGCAAAAAACAGAAGGTGTATGAAAAGTACCTCAATCACTTTGAGTTACAAAGTGAAACGTTTCAGTTGTATCTGCTGTGTTACTTAACTGTACTGACCTGTTAAACACAATTTGGATAATACAAATGTACTGTCATCACTTTACATTAGAGCCATTAGTTTCTGCCCCAACTGTTTCTGCCTCATTTGTCAAATGGTTCTAAATACTACTGTAGCTCAGCAGTTTACAGGCGGTTGCCATAGAGAAGACACCAGCCAGAAGAGCTAGGTTAGAGACGCAGTACCTATTTAGAATCAGTAGCACACATTACATCATGGTTACGACGAGACCCATTCGTCACCAAAGTAATTCAATTTCAAGTAGTTTAAAAGTTGCTCTTTGTCAAGCAATAAATAAAAAGAAATCTTTAAATAATGTTAAACACTATCTGCCTGAGACTAGACAGATTATAGAAATATCAATAGAAGCATTTAACAAATTCAAGTACCTATTCCATTGTTTCTGTGAGTCAGGATGAAATAGATACGGAAGTGTTTGCAGTGACTGCAAACCGAGGCTTTTAAAGGTTGATAGAGTAAGGACACAGAAATAATCATATAAAATTGGTTACAAAAGATCAGAAAAACATCAATATTCACTATTTGAGAGGCACAGACGTTTAGGCATTTCGCTTGAAACTACATTGATCTTCCAGGCCTGAACCTGAAGTAACCAAAGCAAGTCAATACCATCTACTTAATTTACACACACTTAATTGAACTTAAATTGGCCTATCTTATTGATTTCCTCTACAACGTGAAGAATAATCTTTTACAATTACAACTGGGTTGTAAGTGCAAAGATAGCTGCCTACGAGGGCAGTTTGCACCAGATGTTAGTGACCTTAAAACACACAAGCGATTGTTGACCCCCCCCACTCCTTTCAACACCCTCTGCCAATTCCAATTCCATGTGATTACTTTGTCCAAATTTCTCAATAATAATTTTTTAATGGAATTTAAATATGCAGTATTTTAATGACAATAAATGGAGTCAAACAAAAAGAGCCATAGACTACAGCTGTTCAGAAGTTTGAAGACACTCGCCCATTACAAAGGAAAACGGCTAAGTTCAAGGAAACAACATGTACTGTAAGGCAATTGTGTAAATAAATGAAATAGCAGTGTCTGACGCTAATGTACAACCTTCATTTCTACCTCGTTCAATGAGTTCATTGAGTCAGAGGAGAGACTACGAGGTAGCTTGTTACTGTGATAACAGTGTGGCACTGCAATAATCGCTGTGGTTGGCTATAGAAATAGGCCTCTAGTTTAATTGCACTAAATTAAAGCCACCCAATGCAGTTTTCCAGTAAGTTCCACAATGAAAAATGTAAGAAGCTGTCCAAAAACCCTTCTAAAGCAGAAAACATAGCAACTACATGGACAGATGCTAGAGAAATCTACACATTCGTCCCTGTATCATTTTGTGCAGACAGGTTTTTGCACATGCCCAAAAGTGTGGTATATTTATTTCAGAGCAAACAAACTATTCCTATATTGGTCGAGACAGGTGTATTGCGACATAGCGACAACGTTCTAAGACAACGTCATGGAATCCCATTTTTCAGATGCTCAATGCTACGCAACAGGAAATTAAAACCCAAAGGAAAGAGAAGCTGCGTAAGCCACTCATTTATAACAGTGATGACAATCGGAAGGTCTACAGTTCGTAGAGAGACCTTTCACAGATGATAATCATTGTCATGATTGATGGAAAGGAGGAACTTACTGACTGATAACAGAATTCAGATATTAAATCGAGATTAGGCCGGACTTCACTGAAGAAACTATTCTGTTGATTTTAGCTTGAGTTGTTTCTTTAGTGATTTTTCAGGGACAATGCCCTCTGATGAACAGAAAAGGAGCCGGTTTGTCAAGCAGGCTTATCTTCAGCTTCTTCTTTTTTTTTTTTTACCTCAACAGATGCTATAACGCACACAAAAACATGGATCACTCATAAAACTCTGTTCATAGACTTCCTTAAGGAGATGTCTTTTCTGTTGTCCTTTTGTGTTATCTTTTCACTGGAAAAAAACAAGACTAAGATGGGTGCAGAGTGAGGATTACAGGATGAGAAAGAGAGTATGACCCTAGACCAGCAGGGATAAATAATCCCAGGGGTTGGGGTGACCTTCTGATATTAATATTGCACATTTATCAACTTTTATCAGTCTGCCTGAGACGAACCAAATAGTGCAAGCATGTGGCTAGTTGCACACGTGTTCAAGTTAAAGGAATTGTTTTCCGACACTGTGATAAGTGTCACCGGAGGAAAAAACGAAAATTTAAAGGACCAATTCATTTCCTTGAGACCGGCTATGGACACTGCTCCCTAGGCCCTCATCCTGCTGTAATGAAAAAAGGTCAGCCCTACAGCAACACAGCACACGTACAAGTGCAATACAAAGACGACTGTGAATGACTTTAGATGATGAAAATAAAATCCCCATTTGATTTACAGAGAATCCTTAAATCAAAAGTAGATTACTAGAAGGCAATTACAATTGTTTCCCTAATGCTGATAAATTGCTAAAAACTGAAATTGGTTCCCTTGTGGACATACTGTAATCTTTTCAATAACAATGGGATCTCTTGAAATCATTTAATAATCGTTTTTCTTGTCAGTTCTTAGAACCGTGCCGATACAAACTGGAGGGACGCTCAGGCGATGCACCTGTGCCCTTGGTAAAGAGCTTTTACATGGATTGTAGAGTAAGATGTATTTCCTGATCTGCCATTTTCATAATTCTGTCTCTGTGGGCAAAATAATTACACTAAATGTAAGAACTATTGTTTGCTGTATATGGGTGTATTAAAATAAATTGCTTATATATTTGTTCTCCATCTGAGCTGGTGTGCAGAAGGCCAGAAACATACTTGGATTTAACAGTACTTAGATGATAAATGAGTGGCATCGCTTACTAAAGACCAAATAAACAGTAATTCATTGACTCCAGCATCACGTATCCGTTTGCGGATTTGTTAATGTGGACAAAATGTGGTACGGGCAGGATTCTGTTTTTTAAATCTTCGCTGCTCGTCATGACGGCAGTACCCTGAATTCAAAACCAATACCAAAACAGGTTTGGTTTACTGGTAACCATTTATGATGCATTGTGTGGTTACCTTGCAGCTTGAAAGTTTACGACCAAGTCATCCAATAAACGGTTGGTTCTTAAATCTTGTTCAGTTGCTTGCTGAAAGAAAGAGAGGCGAGGTATGAAGGATGCTGTCTCCTTTATCAAATTAATACAATTAATTACAGACGATAACATGCATTTGTGAAAGTTGAGGACCTGTAATTGTGTCATCTATATTGAGCTAATGACCCTGATGATTATGCAAATTGCTTTGGGGGCTCAGTTACACATTCAAGTCAAGTTTATACTTACTGTATTGCAAACTGGACACTGCAATTTATAGCAAAGAAATTTTCTGATGCACAAGGAGCAAACTGTAAAATTAAATGCAAACAAAATGCATGTTACACATCATTTTGTTAGCCAACAGGTAGAGGAATTACTTTTTTCAGTGATAATTTGGTCTGAACAATACACATAAAAAGGTTCTCTGTAGTGCACAACTGTATTCAATCCACATTTGAGGAGTCTGATGGTGCACTCGTATACATCACAAAGCTAAATTCTGGAGCAAATAAGAATGCCACGTCTTTGGACACAAATACATGCAGACAAAGATGGATTCACCTAAAATAAACCTGCTTCCACTTAAAGCAGGGAACTCACTCTTTGTTATTACTGTCAAGACAACAGCAGGATCCAGAGGGACAGAAAGTCATGATGACTACTGAATGATTCTTTTGCTCATCATAAAAACGATACCAAAGATTACATACACTATTTGTAGAAGTAGCTAACACACACACACACACACACTCACAACATCCCATTAATTTGGAAAGACACCAATTGTCATTTAAATGTTCACCTCTTACTGCTTTGAAATTACTTTCAGAAGGACCTTTTAAAAAGGAATTGTATTTCTTGTAAATGATTTGCTTCTAATTAAGATAATAATCACCAGAGCTATCTCAGAAGCTGCTCTACTTGTTACTTACAGTTGTGAGAGCATTTAGTCATCATTGAAATATTTAGAAAGTCGAAGCAAATGGGACATCGAAGCAGGGCATCAACATTCTGCAGATGAGAAAAGACCACAGTGAACACTAATAAAACAGCTCAACTATTAGTTATTTACCAGTAACCAAATATTATACAAAAAAAACTGTCAATGCATTTTACATCTATAGGAAACAGACATTTTAAAACACAGACCCACAATGATTCGTCTGCAGGTGAAACTAAGCTAGAGTTACATTTTTTAATCAAAGATTGTATTTACATCTTCAAAAGAACATTTGATTTATCGTAACGTGTAAGTGTAATGTTACAAATCGTAGTCGGTGATTTCCCTTTAAGAAGATTGGGCTTGAAGTTGGCGAGGAGTTTCAAACGCATTCATGCAGAAGGGAACTTTATCTGGAAGCCTTCCACACCCGAGAGCATAACTTACTGCACAAGTCATATGTTCTCTGGACAGTCACTTCACAAGCGTCAACTGTTTATGATATAATCATAAACAGCTCCTCTCCTCGCCATTTGTTTTACTGGCTTCATGACTCACGGCTTGTTACCAGACTCAATGCTGTCTGTTCTCTTAGTGCCAGTCATGAAAAACAAAGCTGGTAAAGTATGTAGCCTAGAGAATTACAGGCCCATTGCTTTGGCCAGCGTACTGTCAAAAGTCCTGGAAAGAATCCTGCTGGACAGAATACATGACTTTATCACCTCCACAGATAACCAGTTTGGCTTTAAAGCCAAACATGGCACTGACTTGTGTATATATGCCTTAAAGGAAATTGTAAACAAATACAGAGGTCAAAACTCATCAGTTTTGATGTGTTTCATTGATGCCTCCAAAGCCTTTGATCGTGTTAATCATAGTAAGTTATTTTTTAAACTGAGCCAAAGAGGTGTCCCCACATACATTGTGAGAATTCTGGCTTACTGGTATGCTGCCCAGGCTATGCATGTAAAATGGGGTAAAAGTGTCTCAGCCCCATTTGGGGTTAGCAATGGTGTCCGACAAGGGGGAATTTTGTCCCCAATTCTGTTTAATCTATATATTGATGATCTGTCCAAGCAATTGAAAGCCTGTAATACTGGGTGCATGATTGGAAATACTCTGGTTAATCATATCATGTATGCAGATGATCTGGTGATCTTTAGTCCATCTAGCGCTGGTCTTCAGCAGCTCCTCACTATATGTACTGTGTGTGGTGTGGAACATGACATCAAATACAACGCCAGTAAGAGTGCTATCCTGATCTGTCGAACTAAAGAGGACAAATGTCTAAACTTCCCCGACTTCAAATTGTCTGACAATAATCTTGGCGTCTGTGGTGAAGTAAAATATCTTGGTCATTTTATAACAGAACACATGACCGATGATAACGACATTTCTAGGCAATGTCGTATGATGTATGCACAAGCAAACATTCTCTCACGCAAATTTGGTATGTGTACAGATGTCTCTGTTCAGAGCATATTGTACACCACTCTACACTGCACACTTGTGGTCAAACTACAAAAAAAAGAGCTTACAGAGACTTCAAGTAGCTTACAATGACACCATGAGAATACTTTTAAAGAAACCGAGATGGAGTAGTGCTAGTGAAATGTTTGTGGCTGCACGAGTCAACACTTTCCAAACTGTTTTAAGAAATCTCATGTACAAATTCATCTGTCGACTGAATGACTGAAAATGGGATCATAGTTGTTTTAACCAACATAAGGTTTAGCACCACACGCTACCAGTCCCAGCTGTGGCGACATTGGTGCAGCTGTCTCTTTGTAAGGCATTGCTAGGCCTATGTACTTTTATTGTTTGTCTCTATGGAGCCTGAGTCTGAAATAAAATCTATCTATCTATCTATCTATCTATCTATCTATCTATCTATCTATCTATCTATCTATCTATCTATCTATCTATCTATCTATCATTATGTACAGCCGAAATAACTCAGCGCCAACTTATGGGAGCCCGTGCTAAGTATGTTTTGGGTATTTGTTTGTTTTGGCAGGATGACGTTATAGCACCAATGCTTTTTGTGTTTGGTTTTAGCGATAACGTAAGTTAACCGTTCAAAAACGTTAACTGCGTATCTCCTGTGTTACAGCTAATGTAACGTTAGCATATGTTTAGTAAGTACTAGCTACAACTGTAGATCAAAGAACTGGATGATTAGTTAAGTTATATATATTCAACTAAATGTCTTTATAATTGTAACGTACACGTTACTCGTGAGGTAACGTCAGTTGGCATCCTATAGATGTAACGTTAACGTTAGCTGTGGGGGGTTTTCATTTAGCTAAGAGTCAATAGCTGCCATGTTAGCAAAAGGTTTTACAATAAATATACAACTTACTTTCAGACATGCAAAGCCAGGTGGTAAATCCGCTTCAATCTGTAGCGCCATGTCTGGTAAACAAAAGGGCAGCTGCTAGAGAAAACCACAAAACGTTTGTTTCAGTAATCAGAACTCAAAGTCCCGCTCATGCTGATACAGGACGCCACCTACGTCATTTGACGACATCCGCTGAGTCGGAGGTCCAGATTCGTAAACAAAGAAATATAAGTTCTAGATCCGATTCAATGGACGCACAACCACAAATAACAGCACTTTATACTCTATTGATTTACAACCAACTTGTTTGATGAATCGTTCAGATTCAGTCTTTTTGTAGCTTTTCTATGTCTAAAGAATAGCCTATGTTTAAAAAAATGAAATACTAATAATAATAATTATATATATATAAATAT